AATAGGCATAAACATTTAATCATTAGACTGCACTAAAAGGAATCTTCGGAATAGAACAATCAACAGCCATTAGATACCTTTTGCACTTGGTTAAAAGCCTCCCTAGACCCCAATATGTACCCCCACCGACATTTGTTCCACTCACACGCTGAAATTCTCCATCTCCATCGACCTGTAATTACCCGATAAAATCAAATTTATTATAAACTTAGTGGAATTCAAAGTGTTCCCAACCGAGAATAAAAAGTTGGGGTCAGGCTAAATCAAGATAACCTTTATTATACTGACACCAGATCCTATATTGACAAGAAGATATGGAAACAAGTCATTCGAGTCGATCTGCACAAACTCTTTTTGGCCCTCCATGTGCGTAAAAGCTTCATGTCGAATAGCCTGCACAAAAAGCCAAAAAACACAATAAATGGAAGTAATTTTCCTCAAACCAACTACAAGCTCAGCACTTAGGACTCAATGCTTCAAAGAAAAGAACTTTACCAAATCTATATACTTGTGAAAAGCTCTTGCTAGCCTAGTAATCATAAAATATATATTTTTTCAGTGCCCACTAATACTAGATTTTGAGTAGTGAAATATTATTTATGAAAAGAAGCCCGGTATCTTTTGAAGATCGATCCATAAAACAGATAGCAAAAAGAATGTTAAAACAGGCAATTAAAGAATAGTGGTTGCAAGTCAGACAACATTGACAGCTATCCTATTTACTTAATAACATAAAGAATGTTAAAACACACCTTGAGTAGGAAATTTGCACCGGCTACAAGGCAATTCATTTCATCCTCTTTCTCTATACTAATCCCAAGCCTTTCCTTGAAAAGATCGGCAAACTTGTGGGCCCCACCACCTGTTGCCTTCACATACATGACAAAAGTTAGTACACATAGATGCCCTGTTCTTGTGACGGTTAGCCTTACGTGAAACCATTTATCCTCATTAAAGTAAACTTTATTTATGTTCACAGGGAATTACTAAATACGGAAAACAAAAGTAAAAGAAAGTACAATAAATAAACATTTGGAATGAAAGACGTGGCCAAGAAAGAAGAATACCGGGAATCTTGATAAGTAAGATAACAAAAATCAAGATACGTTAACAAGAGAAAAAATGCAACAACAAACAGCATAGCCTTTTAGTCCCAAGCAAGTTGGGGTAGGCAACAAGAGAAAAAATGGCAAAAGAACAATTCTTTTAGCTGACAACAAATCATTTGAACTGAAACGTACGGGAACTCAATAACAAATACCTTAATTACAGTGTTTTCCGTGTTTGAAACCTCAGATTGCCAAATCCGTGATTCCATTCCTGCAATCAAACATTCAGACTAAAATTGCCAGATAACCTCATGAAACTGCCAAGTCACTCGCTGGAAGTACAATTTAGAAAGCAGCATGTACTAAATCAACATGAGGAAAGCGAGAAACGTGCCCCCACGATGAAGCTGCTTGGAATAGATGAAATCCAAGCACTCGTTAATTTTGTACGTCTCGAATTTAACAAAGTGTAGTCTCCCTCCAAGAATTGGGTAACTCCTTCTATTTACATTTGTGATACCAAGTCGTGCCTCGATAATCTTTCTCCTCCGGTCATTGGCCGATTGGTTCTCGTGCCGTGAGAAGTACACCAGCTTAATTAATGATCCTGCCAAGAAATGCAGGTATTCCCAACTTGAGCAAAATTGCTGAGAATATAGTATAAGATGAAACTCAATGACAACAATGGACATGAAAGGTCTCTGAGGTGAAAGTTTATCAGCACTCCATAAGCAACCAGCAAGCAGTAATGATAGAGCAAGCTTAAATCAGCTAATAAATACACTTTTTACCAATGTTACACTATTTTCCATAATGATATGATCAGATTATGTATACCGAACATAGTTGAATAAAACGACAGAATTCGATGGCAATTCTGACAAATTATACAGCCCTGAAGAATAGAAAGATGCAGAAGAAAGGAAAAAGGTCCAATCTTTGCACAAAAAGTAATTACACTACATATAATCCACATTTCATGAAAATCACTGGTAACAAACACACACAGAGTTTCAGCTTGCCCAACACACTCCTTACGTGTTTTCGAGAATTGAGATGAACCAACACGTTCGAACAAGAACAAAGCTGAATACAGCAAAAACACATTCAATACCAATCACACAGCATAGCTCATCATATACTACACAATTCACAGATTTCAAAAATTCAGCTAAAAGCAAGACAAAAATAACAAATCCCCACATGAGGACAAAGATGCAGTAAACCCAGAAAGACTCACCTCCAATATCTAAAGCCAAGTGAGAAATATCATCAGACTGATTCGGCAGCAAAATTGTCGGGTCCTTCTCCTCGAAATTCCCCTGAATAGCGGCCCCACTCAGATCCAGCTGTGGCCGCGAAGATGACCGGTGAATTGAACTTCCGGCCATGGGGGCCATTTCCTTCTCACCTGATCCTTTTCTCCCTACAACAGAGCCAGAATCTTGATGGGACTTCTCTTCAGGATGATCGGTATTTATATGGCCGTCATTTCCTATGCTCTTGGGTTCTTGGTGGTCCTCCGTTAAACGATTCATAGGTGCAATAATATAGCTCTTGCTGCCTAATCCCCAACTGTTTCTTATCCTTCTATAAATTCGGTCAAAAATGTCCAATTTAAGAGTGTAGGAGAGAGTTGTCCTACACACAAAGTCCAAAATGGATAACATAATGTCAGCTGAAAAATGAAATCAGAAATTTGAAAAATACGATGCAAATAATAGTTTCAATAGAGTGAAAAAAAAATAAAAAAAAAAATCAACATGAGTCTAAACACTAACCAGAAAACAAAAGGTAAACGAGCCCCATATGCCCAAAGATGGAAGTTTTAAGAGTCTTGAGCCTTAAAGGCAGATACTACATAAAAGGGCTTTGATTTTTTCAAGAAATTTCAGAAAAATGCAAGTATTATTAGCAATCCTTATTCAATTAATGAAAACCCAGCTGGGTGAACCAATAAATGAACCCGAAAAATAATTCAATTGCTACAACTTGGGCTTGTTGTGATGGTACTCGAAAAGGAAATG